GAGAAATTGCTATTGTTGAAATTCTCTGCAGCAGACGGACTCTATCTGTGTCCGTAGCGCACAGCGAGAGCACACGCACCAGCAGCCCGCCTCAGCTCGACCCAGTCCGGGCTCCTCGTCCGCGACAGGCAGCCGCCTCCTGATCCTCCATCAGCCTCAGCTGCTCTTCACTATATTGCGGCTCGTAAAGATAGCCACGAACAGCGGATTCGAGCAGCAGAATTTCAAAATCCTCTACTTCCATATCATGTTTAGTTTCTTCCGTCATTGTCGTAACTTCCTATATCCACAGCGCTTGTTAGCTTAGCTTAGCTTATAAACAAGATGGCTGATATTGCTTTCAGTCTCTGCAAGTGAAGTCCCACCCACTGATCTGTGATAGCTCTGTTAGCGCATTAGGCACAACCCCCTATGGGCGGGTTTGAAAGGGTGGGAATTTGTGCTTGTAGTCTATACAGAAATCCCCCCTTTTTACACTTCCTCCTACAATGACGTCAAATGACGATTTTTGCGTCATTGTAGGAGGAAGTGAAAAAGGTAAATAGTAGATTTCTCTCGTCTCAGGGGAAAATGAAAGAATGTTGCACGACCATTCAATAGTATGACTGGTTGTCTAACAATGGACCTCTTAATGCAAATGGGTGGAGTGACCCTTTAAGGGTTCTGGTTTTCTATCGTTGGTAGGACTATGTTGTATAGCTACTCATTTCGTTTTCATATAGGGGGGCAAGCATTTTTTTATTATGATCTGAGAAACAGACTTCTCACCAAAACAATAAGATCCCATATTATTACTGAAGTAGCTAGACAGTCCATCATACAAACTAGACCACAATCCTTTTGCATAGCCTGCTACATATTGCCTACTTCATAAAAATGAGTAACAAAAACGTTTCAATTCCTCCAACAACACAATGATAAAAACAATACATACCAAATAGCAATTAAATATGAAGCCTACATATGTAGAAGGGCTGCACAATATATCGAAATATCGCAAATGTACTATTTCGCAATATGCATATTGCTTGGGTCTTTCGTCCACTCTGTAGTAGGTTGTACGGGTCCATGTTGATGTCAAGTAGTTTCTCTAAATAACGCTGCTTGGTGTTGTTATTTAGTCTCTCCCGAGAGCCCCTTTCCTTTTGCTTCCCCCTTTTTCATTTATTCCCAAGAAACTGTGCCTTATCGCAAAAATGCAAACAAATAACAAGCTGCTCTCTCTCTCTCTGTCGCTATTTCTCTCGGTCTCACGGTCGAAGTAACCATGACAACGGATAGTGTATCCTACCAAGATGGCGAATCCTTCCCACAATGCAACGCGGAGTGATAGCGTGACGTCACCTTCTCATTCTCAATTTAAGGCATGAAGACATTTTTTTCAAGGAAAAAAATATGTCATGTTGGTGATCAAAGATGAGTTTTAGGGGATACAATTATTGACTACAGGAAGACTTTAATAAATCCTTATCTTGAGCAAAATTAGCAAGCTGACATTCAGTACAGTCTAGGCTATCTTTTATTTCGACTACGTCTTTTAGCTTGGCAAGAGATTTACAGCACCATTTTTGAAAAGAGTGCGCACACTGTGCGATTTTTGTCCGCTTTTGAGCCGAAGTCTTGAGTCTGGCCGATTTTCAGGATTGTTTTGCGTCGTTTGTCGTGCAGTGTTCGTGCCGACCGGCAATCGGATGGTCGGATGAATTTCTGGCATGTCAGAAATTTTGGTCGCCCCTCGTAAAGGTGTCGCACAGTTGAAGCAGAGCTAATAACCGATTGACCTAAACTCAGTGTTTTTCCCTCACTGCGCCTGCGCAAAAACAAAAGTTAAACCATTTCATTTTTAATACAGCAAGAAAGAAAATGAAGTGGGACTTCTTTAAGTTCTGTAGCTATCAAACTAGCTGCAATTTCGCAAACTATTGCTCCAGTTCGTGTTTCAAACAGGATAAACCATATTACCCACATCTTCCAAACCAACTGTGTGTTCATGGAAGGAAGAAGGAAGAAGAATGACCAGGCGAACTCTATTGCCCTTGAAAAGATATAGTACGTTCACCTAGTGATTTATTGACTAAACTATGTCTCTTCTCTGGGCAGAGAATCCATGGTGAGTGAAGAGGACAGTCATTTACGTCCAACCCTTATTATCATGCTGAAGACCTGTTCGCCTGAGCAATCTGTCTGACAGCACTCTCACAAAACAGACAACCACTATTTCTGATCACTGCTCTTACTTTACACCAGTACTCTTTGAAGCATGAATGATAAAAGAGTGGTTACAGTCAGTGAATACTAAGTAACATTTATTGTCAAGATCCAGAATGTGTTTGACAAAACCAAAAGGGCTTGAAGTGTGTCATTTATGTACCATCAGCTCCCCTAAATGAATTATAAAAATAATGACAAACAGATTTCCCCAACACAACACTGCTTCACTGTTTTTTATAGTTTGAAAAACTTTTGTGGGTTACACTTTATTAAAAGGTGATGCTGTTACAGCGTAATTACACAAATAAGTACTGTGTAATATTAATTAATTACATGTAAGTTAGGATTTGGTTTACGGTTATAATTACTTGCAATTATGCATATTACTATAGTAAGTATGTAACGTGTAACTGTGTCATGTTAAAAAAATATGAACCTTTTGTGTGTCAAATCAAAGTCATGTGATTTGACCAAATCAGAAATGAAATATAAAAATACAGTACAAAATTAAAGAGAGGAGCAAACCCTCATGTCAAGGTCAATAATTAAAAATATCAATTAATTTTTCTTTTTTATGAAAAGGCAAGGTACGTCCAGATTGCAAAATGCCATGTGGTGTGACACTCCAGAAATGTGGTGATCTTTATGTATTCATAATTCATGATAGCCTATTTGTGAACAAAAAAATTCTTACCTTCAAAAATATATATTTTTATAAATATAATATTTTCTATTTTTTAGAAAATAATTATTACACAAATAATGCAATTATTTACATAAATGATGATCCATTACAAAATGTTTTTAAAAAATTGTATTGTATTATACTGTATGTTTTCTGTTTTACCAAAAAGTAAAGGTTACATACATGCACTTTATTTTAAAGTTGTCCACAGTGTAATCATGCAATTAAGTATATCATTGGCTATGCAAAAAAACAAAAAAACGAGCTGAAATGGAATACATTCTGAATGGTGTGGAAAAGCTCTGGGCTTGAGAGTCATAAGTTGCTGTTCTGGCCACCAAACAACACCAGCAAGTGTGAAGATTGGTACGAGCCAGTGATAGCATAGCAGGCTGGAAGGAGAACAAAAGGAAACAAAGCAATGTGCAGAGCAGATTGGTTTAGCCAAGAGTGAGGGAAGCAAAGCTTATAGAGTCAGGCGCAGTAATTGGGCCACATATGAAACTCAGCATGTGTCCTTCTCTCATAGAAAATCCGAGAGCACCGTGAGAAAATTCTCCTCACTGTGCCGGAGATCGATTTCACACAAAGTGCTAAGGATTTGCTACAGAACCATAGAGGAGTCACTGAAATAGACTTGGCTTGTGATATTGGACTAGGTTTGGCCTGAACCTCAGCACTTTTCTACTGGATGTTCTGTGCAAGATGCATTGGTTTTGAGCAGAGATGCTCGAAGCTGAGACCAGCAACTCAAAACTTGCATTCAGAGGCATTTTATAGTGCTTTGCTCTAGATTTGAAGTTCTGTTCTTACTTACTGGCATGGGAGAGATTCAAACTGTGGCTAAATGGAAGTGATAACACTTTTCAACAACTGTGCCTCTGTGGTTATAGCTAAAACATGAATTAGCCATTATTGTATCACTCACATTGACAATCAGGAGTGGAGAAATTACCATTGAATGCACATTATGTGAAGCTATAGTCAAATCTAATTTTGTTGGGCAAAATAGCCTTGTGGCACCATCTCAGAGCTACACTCTCAAAGCCTCATAAATATTTGAAGAAAACAATATGAAACAGCCGCGTGCCTTTTAAGTATTAAAGTGTAACATTTGTGCACTAAAACATAGGGAGAGCAATTCAAGAATGGACAAACACTATATCTTCACTTTTGCTAATCGTGTCCAGGCACATCAACCTCTATGTATGTATGTATGTATGTATGTATGTATGTATGTATGTATGTATGTATGTATGTATCTATCTATCTATCTATCTATCTATCTATCTATCTATCTATCTATCTATCTATCTATCTATCTATCTATCTATCTATCCATCCATCCATCCATCCATCCATCCATCCATACATCCATCCATACATCCATACATCCATCCATACATCCATCCATAGCATTTTCCAGAAAATATAACACACTGTTCACTGTCATATCCACTTTTTCATTCCCACATTTTCTTTGTTGAATATTTCAATGGCTCCTTTTAGACCCAAGTGTTTAAGATGACCAATAGTTGGCATACATGAAATGCATGAGATGTTTTGTCAATGCAGTGCCTTGAGCGGCACATTGCAACATTTCATGCTAAAATATTTTAGGCTGGACCGCTGGAGCCCAATAGGAACATCATCATTACACACACTCGTGTCTCCTCTTTTGTAATAACGACTGCACTCCACTCCGTCCACATTTCCGTTATATCCGAATCCATACTGTCTATGTCCGAATCTCGAGTGATTTGTTCTTTTGAACAGGATCGTTTTAATGATTCATTCAAACCGAAGCGCACAGCGTATGTAAATCACAGGAGAAAAACTGTGAGGTGGGTGGCTGATGTAAACCTTAACCAAAAAAAATAATTACAAAGTCGTCGAAAAACAGATAAATTGCATTACTAAAGTAGCCTACAGTGCAGTATCTAATAATGTATTTACCACATAATAAAACAATGATAAATGAAACGATTGGTTATGGAGCTGTTCACTGAAACGAACCGATTCGCTCAAATGAATCAGACCTCCCAGTGTTTACTATCATCTGTTCGGAGCAGCGTAACGCCCCCTGCTGTCTGGTGCACGAAACGCGCTGTGCAAGTTTCACACAACAACCCTGAGAGACTCCTCAAAGAAACGTGTGCTGGAATTTGACTCGGGTGATGCTCTCAACAGCGGGTTTCATATGGTTATCGCTTGTTACATGAAAGCTGCCGTTTTGCCCGTTCAGAGGTAAAATGAGCAGCACGGATATCCAGGATTCGGGAGAGGAGCCCTGCTTTCGCCTGGAGACCCTACCGGGCAAGAGCCCACACCTACCGGGCAAGAGCCCGCACCTACCGTTACCGGGCAAGGCGTCTCCGCAGGTGAACAGCCGCTGGGATCAAGCGCCTCAAGTGACGGCCAACGGGCTCCATGACATTGAGGACCGGATTTTACGAATTACAGGCTATTATGGCTATAACCCCGGGTACTCCAGCCACAAAAGTAAGTGTTTAAATACACACGCAATAACAAATGTAGTCTTAGTAATGGTGTCGAGATCAAGTCTGACACTGTCACTGTGGTGGCCTTGAACGGTGAATCTATACGATGTGAATGTGGAGAAAACACATGCATGTGTCTCATTTTGCTTTGTTCAAAAGTTATGTGCGTGCTGCATAAATAAATCTGATCAACATATGAATTTAGTCGGCAAAACTTTTTAGAAATTAGTTTTAGAATATGGAATGTAGAATAAAACAGAATAGGTCAGGATGGGGTGAAATAACAGTATCGGTCAAAATTTGGAAACATTTCTATTTTTAATGTTTTTGAAAGAAGTCTCTTATCAAGCCTGCATTTATTTGATCAAAAATACCGAAAAACTATTGGAGTGAAATACAATTGTGAAATATGATTACAATTGTAATTAATGTTTTTCTTTTTTAATATACTTTAAATATAATTTATTTATGTGATGCAAAGCTGAATTTTCAGCATTATTACTCCAGTCTTCAGTGTCACATAGACATGATCCTTCAGAAATCATTCTAATATGCTGATCTGATACTTAGCTATTATTATCAATGTTGGAAACAGTTATGCTGCTTAATAAAAAAAAAAAAATGTAACCTGTGGTATTTTTTTCAGAATTCATTGATGAATAAAAAGTTAAAAAGAACAGCATTTATTCAAAATATAAATCTTTTCTAACAATATAACTCTTTACCATCATTCTTTTCACTTAACACATTCTTGCTGAATAAAAGTAGGCTATTCATTTCTTTCAGAAAAAAAGAAAGAAATTTACTGACCCAAACCTTTTGAACGGTAGTGTATATTACAAAAGATTTATATTTTAAATAAATGCTGTTGTGTTCTTTTTTTTACTTTTTATTCATCAAAGAATTCTGAAAAAGTATCACAGGTTATAAAAAAAATTAAGCAGCACATCTGTTTCTAAAATTGATAATGACTGATTATTAAATCAGCATATTATAAAGATTTCTGAAGGATCATGTGACACTGAAGACTGGAGTAATGATGCTGAAAATTCAGCTTTGCATCACATATTTTAAAGTATATTCAAACAGAAAACCATTATTTTAAATTGTTATAAATATTTCACAATATTACAGTTTTTCTGTATTTTTGATCAAATAAATGCAGGCTTGATGAGCATAAGAGACTTCTTTCAAAAACATCAAAGATAGTAATGTTTCCAAACTTTTGACCGTTACTGTACATAATATGAAGGAATAGAAAATGGAAATTAGATTTGAGAAATCAGATTGAAACTAAAATGTAATAGCAGGGCCTGAATTTTGTTTTGGAAAATGGGGGGGAAATCCCCCCTTAGTCCTTAGATGATTCTCATGGGGGGGATTTTTTTTGTTTGAGGGGGAGAAAGGGGGGGCATTTTTTCCAAACAAAATTATTACATTTATCTTGCCTAAATGTTTGCGCTCATTGCATTTTTACAATGGGGTAATATTGTTGTTAAGAATTTACACATCACAAGGAAGCTTGATTTAAATTGTTTAATTAAATTAAAAAAAGTAGCACAAATAAATACAATGGAATAAAGATACAAATAAAGATAATTAAAGAGAAAAGTTTTTCAATGGGTCTAACACTAGTAGGCTATTCAAATACAGAAACTGAATAAAGTAATCAAATGGAAAATAACACTGGGTAGTATTTTAAGTCCAGAATAAATTAAATACATAGACTATTAATCCTGATTCCTTTAACTTAAAGCTATCTTTTGTTGTTTTGACAACAAAATTAATGACAGACACATATGACTGCCGTCACTTTAAGAGCTAGTGCACGGATCCTGTGTTCATTATACTGGCATGCGTTTTATGCTTAGGCCTATTAAAGACAAAACGTCTCAGGTTACTACTGTAACCATAGTTCCCTGAGAAAGGGAACGAGACGATGCGTCATCGACGCTTTGGGAACGCCCCCAGCGTGAATGCGTCTGAGCATCAATGTCAACTAGTCCAATGGAAAGAATGAGCGTCACGGGCGGGTGACGTCATGACCAGGAAGGCATAAGAGCACATCCGGTGAAACGCGGCATTAGCTTCAAAAAGTCGAAGCAAGCCGATCACAGGGATGCAGGAAGTATGGCAGGGTGACGCATCGTCTCGTTCCCTTTCTCAGGGAACTATGGTTACAGTAGTAACCTGAGACGTTCCCTTTCGAGGGAACTCGCGATGCGTCATCGACGCTTTGGGAATGAGAATACCCAAAACGCCAGAATTCCAAGTACCTGAGTGTCAGTCTGTTGGAACTAAGCACTAAGCACCTGAGAACCTGGGGCAGCATCCAGGTCCAAACTGTAAAACCTGACGAATGTGAGCGGTGAGGACCAGCCTGCCGCATCACAAACGTCTTGGAGAGAAACCCCAAATAACAAGGCTTTAGAGGCCGCCATACCCCTCGTAGAGTGAGCTCTGACCACCAAGGGACACGGATGGTCAGAGTACTCGTATGCAAGTGAAATAGCCTCGACTATCCACTTACTAACCGTCTGTTTAGAAGCAGGAAGACCCTTCTTAGGTGATCCAAAGCAAATAAATAACTGGTCGGACTTCCTCATTGAAGATGTCCGATGAACATAAGTATCCAGTGCTCGCACTGGACACAAGAGGTTCAGCCTTTCCTGGTCCGCAGATGTAAAAGGAGGAGGACAGAAAGCCTGCAGCACAATAGGCCTCGGAATCAAGGTCGGCACCTTAGGGACGTATCCCTGTTTTGGATATAAGAATGCCTTGACCATCCCCGGTGCAAACTCAAGGCAGGTGGGGTAAACCGAAAGGGCCTGAAGGTCTCCAACTCTCCTAAGGGAAGAAATAGCTAGCAGAAAGATAGTCTTGAGGGTAAGAAATTTCTCTGAAACCGAATCTAAGGGCTCGAACGGAGCCCTAGACAGGCCTTCTAGTACTATAGCAAGATCCCAAGCTGGCACCTTAGTGCGAGTTGCAGGCCTCAGCCTCAATGTGCCACGAAGGAAACGTGTAATCAGGGGGTCTCGACCCAACGATGTACCCCCCACCAGGGCGTGGTAAGCCGCAATGGCCGCCACGTAGACCTTGAGCGTGGAAGGACATAGACCTGACGTAAAGCGCTCCTGCAGGAACTCGAGTACTGTGTTCACAGAACAGTTAACTGGATCCCACTGATGTCGGTGACACCATACAGAAAAAACTTCTCCATTTAAGCGCATAAAGTTTCCTAGTAGCTGGAGCTCTGGAGCTTAGGATGGTCTCAGCAGCCTCAGCTGAGAGACCACTCTCTATGAGTTGGGCCCCCTCAGAGGCCAAACCCACAGGTTCCAAATCTCTGGTCGAGGGTGAAATATTGTGCCCCCGGCCTGAGACAGAAGGTCTCTCCTGATCGGGATCTCCAAGGGAGGACCGTCTAAGAGATGGATAAGGTCCGCAAACCAGATCCGACTCGGCCAGCGTGGTGCTACAAGCAGTAGGCTTATTCCGTACTGGCGGACTCGTTCCAGAACTCCTGGGAGCAGAGCAACAGGGGGAAATGCGTACAGACGTAGCCTCGGCCATGTCTGCACCATAGCATCCAGCCCCAGGGGGGCTGGGTGAGTAAGGGAGAACCAAAGTGGACAGTGCGTCGTATGCTGAGACGCAAACAGATCCACCTCTGCTTGGCCGTAAAACTCCCAAATTTTCTCCACCGCCTCGGGGTGGAGTCTCCAGTCCCCTGGCCTCAGCTCCTGCCTCGACAGGATGTCTGCCCCCATATTCTGGTCCCCAGGAATATACACTGCCCTCAGGGAGAGTACCTTCCCCAGAGACCACAGGAGGATCTGGTGCGCCAGTTTGCAAAGCGGACGCGACCGCAGACCCCCCTGACGGTTCAGATAAGAGACCACTGATGTGTTGTCTGTTCGTACAAGCACATGATGGCCCCTCAGGTCTGGGAGAAACTGTCTCAACGCATTGAAGACAGCCATCATCTCCAGGCAATTGATGTGCCACGAAAGATGATGACTTTTCCACAGACCCTGAACCGAGCGGCCTTCCATTACCGCTCCCCAGCCGGTGAGGGAAGCATCTGTCGAGATCGTAACACGATGGCAAAGAGCTCCCAATAGCGGACCCTGGGTTAAGAACCAATGTTTCCTCCATATAATTAAGGCACGAAGGCACCGCCGCGTGACCTTGATCATACGATGTGGGTTTCCCCTCGGGGAGAACCCTCTGGTCCTTAGCCACCACTGTAAAGGTCTCATGTACAGCAGGCCAAAAGGTATCACGTTGGACGCTGCCGCCAAGAGACCCAACAGTCTCTCGAACTGTTTCACAGTGCGTGACTGGCCTAGCTTTAGCTCTTTGGTGGCTGTCAGGATAGCAGCTACACGAACGGGCGATAGAGTGGCCCGCATCGTCACTGAATCCCATACCACACCAAGGAAAGTGGTTCTCTGTACTGGAGAAAGAACACTCTTCTTGGCATTGAGCCTCAACCCCAACATCTGCATATGAGCGAGAACGACACCTCGGTGCCGAACCGCCAGCTGCTCTGATTCCGCCAGAATCAGCCAGTCGTCAATGTAGTTCAGAATACGTATGCCCTGAAGCCTGAGAGGGGCTAGAGCTGCATCCACGCATTTCGTGAACGTGCGGGGTGATAAAGCTAGACCGAAAGGAAGAACCCGATATTGGTATTCTTTGCCCCCGAAAGAAAACCTTAGGAACTTCCTGTGCTGAGGGAGGACGGAGATATGGAAGTAAGCGTCCTTCAGATCTATCGTGACAAACCAGTCCTCGGACCTGATTTGAGTCACGATCTGTTTGAGTGTCAGCATCTTGAACTTGAGTTTCTGTACTGAACGATTCAACAGACGAAGATCTAAAATGGGACGCAACCCCCCATCCTTTTTTGGAACAATGAAATAACGGCTGTAAATACCCGACTCTCTGTCGGGTGAGTACACCTGTTCTATAGCTTCCTTTGCTAACAGGGCC